AGCAACTGCTGAATAGTCCTCCTTAGTGATGACCCCTCCTTTCCTTTGGGAGCAAGCCTCCTTTTCTTTTACTGGAGTTAACTGCAATGTCTCTACCATCCATCCTTTCAAAGGAAAGGGCAAGAACGTATCACCTACCAATAGCCAAGTGTGACCTTTGGACAATTTCAAAGCATTTCCCTCAAGATCCTTTTCACCTCCAATCAGTTTCTTTTCTCCAACACAAAATTGCTCCCCACCACTTTTAGCTGCTGGGTGTTCATGTGCTTTAAAAGTACTGACCTCATCAACAGCTGGAGTTCTGTAACCATGAGAAGTCAGCATTGTGTTATTTTTGGTGATCTCTTCTCATTAGAGCAACTGAAGTCAAGAGAGATGTTAGACACGCTTCTGGGCACAAAGTTTGGGGCTGGGAAAACAGCCTGCTTCACACAACAGGGCCAATAAAAGAGATCACCAAAAACCCTTGTTACCTTTGTCGAAGCCGCCTGCTTTTCACATATTTTAGGTGAATGTTGTCAAGTGTGGGGTCACCCCCTCCACATAGCCACCCTAGCAATTCTGTTTGTTCTCTTTGGTCATCTACCAACCAGGAAGGAGGCTCTGGCTAAGGGAACCTGAGCTATTACAGCACTGTTTTTCTGTTACTCCTCTGCTCATGTTGCTGGACAGAGTTTCACTGGCAGCCTCCCAGGCTCCTTAGACTCACCTGGGGGGCAATGAGCACTGGCTGGTGTCCTCTGCTTAGCATCCCCTTTTGGATCCTTCATTAGTAAGCTATGACTTCACTCCCACCTCTGCTTCTTCATTTTTTGCCCCCTGTAATTAGCTAGTGTGTCCTCAGTGCCCTCCTTCATGGAGGGAGGCTCACAGTTTTCTTTGGCAGGTCTCAGTCCACCATCCCTTCAGTACAACAAATAGGCCTTACTAAACTATCCCATTGCCACAGATTGTAGAAATCACAGAGCAGTTGGGCTAAAAGGGACCTCTGGAGATCATATCTAGTCCAACCCCCTGCCTGAGGCAGGATCAGCCCTGTCCAAACCATCCCTGACAAATCTATGATCTAAACTCTTCATAAAACTGCTGGTAACCTTGACATCACACAAGACATCACACCTGAACCAGCTCCAGGCAAAGCAGGGGGACCATGAGTTGAGATTCCCTGCCTCTCTGGAGAGCCTGTTCCAAAGATGGACCCCCTCATGGTCAGAAAGTTCCTCCTCATTTCCAACCTCAATGTCCCCTACCATAATTTAAGATAATTGCCCTTTGCTCTGTCCCTGCAGCCACAAAGAACAATTTACCCCCATCCTCTGCAGAATGACGCTTCAAATATCTGAGAACTCCTCAGCCTTGTATTCTTCAGCTATGCTCCCCACAACTACACAAAACAAGAAGCACCAAGGACTCCTTGGTAGTGGCAGAGGAGATGAAGGCCCGGCCAATGCCCTACCCCAGAAACTACAGGGGTATTTATGCCTGCTGGGAAAGTAATCCCGAGCCTGGAGCAGGCCTGTGCTTACATGGCAGTGTCTTGGTGCCGCCGTGGTGTGACAAAAAGTGTGCGTGTGGGTCGGGCACTGCTGGCGTCGGGGTGGGCGCTCCATGGCTTGGCGTAGCTGTGGTCCAAGAAGACCAGGTCCAGTTCTCGCTCATGGACAGAGAGCTGGAAGAGCAGAGAGGTCCCCATCCTGTGGGCTGACGTCTGGAAGTCGCGCTCAGTGGCTCGGCCCCACATATTTTTGTGGGCTTCAGCCCCGCATCCTGCTGCCTGACTTAGGAGAGACAGGGGGTGAGCACGAAACAGAGAAATGGGCCTGGTGCTCTGGCCCCTTCTCCCCTTTCACCTCTGGCCCTAGAGACCCCAGCAGCGCCTTGTGTCCCTGCTGCCCAGGAGTTCCCAGCACCCGGTGACCCACGGCCCGTTCCCACCACCATGATGACCCTGACTCCACCAGCCAGACCCGTTACCCAGTACCCCCTACCCTCAGCGCTGCTGACCCCTGCCCACAACACCAAACTCCTCCCCGCTATGTCCCTGACCCTAGCACCTTCAGACCACAGCCCCTGGCCCCAGCACCCCTCCCCTACAAGGGCCTCCATGACCCAGCTCCTCCTGTCCCCAGCGCCCCCGAACGCAGCACTGTTCTGAGCCCAGCACCCTCCTGCCCCAGTGGCCCCCGATCCCTGCGACCTCCGTGACCCCGACCCCAGCAGCCATGAGCCCTGCACCCCATGACCCAGCGCCCGTGTGACCCCTGACCCCTCCCCAGTGCTCCCTACTCCCAGTCCCTCATGACCCCTGACCCCCACCCCGGCGCGGCCCGAGGGCGGGGCAGACCCCACTCACCGTCCAGGGCTCGCGGCCGCCTCAGGCCTGGGCCTGCCGCCTACTGCGCACGCGCCACTGCCTGACCGGCCGCAAAGACCGGAACCAAGATTTCCTGGAGCGGCGTTTCCCGCCTGCTGCGCATGCGCCGATCAAAAAGCCCGGAGCACGGGATCCACGGAGCGGAGCCTGGAGGGCGGCGGGGTGGGTCTCGGCTGTGGGAGCGTCTGGGCAGCGGCCTCCGGAGACAGGCGCAGGTGAACGAGAGCTGCCACCTAGTGACCAGGGCAGCGCCGTGGCTCTGTTGCGCCCACCCCACCCTGGCCCGGCAGCACCCACAAGACCCAGGCCCCCGGGCCCAAATGCCACCCCTGGCAACCAGCCCCAGGTCCTCTCTTCTGTTGCTACAGGGATCGCGGGTTTCCCTCTTCCTCAGCAGGGCTGGGTGGGCGTTGGCTGTGGCCCAGGCTGGGGAGGGCGGCTGGGCTTGGCCAACGCTGTCTCTGGGACTCAACCCCGGAGGGTCCTGGCTAGAGGGTCCTGCCTGGAGATGATTCCCCCTCAGCCCCAGCGCCCCCGAATCTCAGCACTGCTAGCTCGTGGCCACACTGGAGTCGGTGGCACTTGCTCAAACTGCCCCTAATCCCCTCCCGAGCGCCACCCCCTCCCAAGCTGACCCATCTCCTACCTCCCCACTTCAGCTAGTCACCCTGATCCCCCCGGTCCCCCCGCTACTGCCACTGCCCTGCCCATGGCCACCAGGGGCTGGTACACGGAGGCATGATGCCACCTTGTGGCCAAGGGCAGCTCTGCATGGCCGTCTGGGCATGCGCATTGCCCCCCAGCAAATACAGGGAGGGTCTTGGTGTTTCCCAGGGTTTTGCTGGGAAGGTGACTGGGCTGGGTCTGTGCTTCTGCTCGGACTTAAACCTAGAGGGTTCTGGCTAGAAGGTCTTGCTTCTCCAGTCAGACTGATGCAGCACTGGGGTCAGGAATCCTGCCCTCCCCCCACCAAGTCAGACAGGTACAAATTGGGGGGGTTGGCTTCCTCTGCAGCAAGGGCATAGTCTCTGTCTGAGGTCTCTCAAGGGCACTGGAGCCACCTGGCAGCAGCAGGGTACCACCAGCCTTCTCCTGGCTTCACCTGGGGCACAGTCAGGTCTCTCAAGGTCCCTGGACCTGGTCACTGAAGTGTGTGGTGTTAGGAACAGCTCAGACGAGAACATGTCAACAGGGGCTGGATGGGGCTGGTCCAGCCTGGCTGCCCTGTGAGTCTGTAACTCTGACCACACTTGCTCAAGTCGAGCTCTAGCATACCCACTGCTCTCCTCCCATCCAAAACCCCTTGCCCTGTCCCAGAAGGCCATTGTGGACAGCTGAGACATGCCTTAGCTGTTTATATGCAGTAGGGCCCTAGAAAAAAAATCAGGCTGGAAGGGACCTTAGAAGGTCCCATCCAGTCCAGCCTCCTGCTGTAGGCAGAATCAGCCTTCCCTAAACCAGTTCATCCAAGTGTCCGTCCAACCTGCTCTTGAAAATGTCTGGGGAATGGAGATTTCCCCCCTGGCAGCCCATTCCAAGGGTGTACCCCAATCATCAGAAAATTGGCCAAGCCCTGATGTTTTACACCTGAGTTTGGTGTCGTCGGCGAACTTGGCCAGTCCACTTCTGACTCCAGTGTCCACATCATTAACGAAGATGTTGAACAATATGGGTCCAAGGACAGTGCCTTGGGGGGGGACCCCACTCGTCACAGGGCACCATGATGATTGACTTCCATTAATTACTACCCTCTGGGTCCGACCACGGAGCCAATTTCCCAGCCAGCGGATCATGGTGGACCCAAGGCCACAATTGGCCAGTTTTGCCAAGGGTGATCATGGGATACCAGCTCGCAGGCTTTTTTGAAGTCAAGATATATGACATCAATCTCTTCTCCCTTGTCCAGGTGATAGGTCACCTGGTCGTAGAAGGTAATGAGATTGGTCAAGCAAGACCTAGCCGCAACAAACCCATGCTGGCTATCACTCAGGATGTTGGCATCTGCCAGTCCATTAAGGATGGCCTCTTAGAAAAGTTTATTAAAAACCTTCCCCGGGATAGAAGTCAGGCTGATGGGCCTAGTTAGCCAGATCCACTTTCCTCCCTTTCTTGAAGATAGGCACCACATTGGCCTTCTTCCAGTCTTTGGGCACTACACCAGAGCACCAGGAGTTTTCAAAGATCCATGCCAGGGGCTGGGCTATGATGCTCGCCAGCTCCTTGAGTACCCTGGGGTGTAGATTGTCAGGGCCAGCTAACTTGAAGGTATCTAGCCTCTCGAGATGTTCCTTCACAAGGTCAGCATTGATGGAGGGCAGGGGATCTCCCTCACCCGGACCTTCCTGTCCCATGGTTGGCATGGGCATCCCATGGGACTGATGAAAGACTGACGCAAAGTACCCATGTAATAGGTTGGCTTTTTCCTGAGCCTGTCCCTTGTGGCCCGTCTCCATCTTCTCTGTTGTCATCCTTTAGGGGTTTGAAGAGGGTGATCAAATTGGCCTCACTCTTCATTTCCCCAAGCTATGTCACCCCCATTTTTTTAGCCTTTCCCCACAAGGTGGGATACTTAGCAGTCTCCCAGGAATGGAGGGAAACAGAGGAAAGCCTCATTCACAGCACTGTGCCACTGGCTCCTAGTGACCCTCCACACCCCTTGGAACGGGAGCAGAGCATTGCGGGATGCCAGAGGACCAGGAGACCCATGGGCTGAAAGTCCAGGCAAAAAGTGGTAGGACCACATCACCTCTTGAGCTAACAGTCTGTTAGTTGCCCAGGTCCCTGTTGGGCATATCCTCAAAGGGATCCTATCAGAACCAAGAGCCATGGTAGCGCCCAGTCCTGCACCCTTGTGACATGAAGCTTACTGGGGGGCAGGGCCAGAGCAGGAAGAGGCAGGGTTTAATATGGGCCACACCTGCCCCAAAAGTTGATCACTTGTAGCAATCTCTCAGCAGCACCCAGATTTTCCCTTCCCCTGGAAACCAGGTGCATGAAATAGGTGGGAAATATGGGCACAGGGCTGCCAGTTGGTGGGTGAAACTAAGCGCCAAACCTGCTGCAATCCCCAAGGAGCAGAACACAGAGCAGGCTGGGATCCCTGGTTGCTGCTACTCCAGTACTCATTACAAGAAAAAATCTTTTATTCTTTGCTCTGGCTTTCAAAACCAAGGTGTGTGTTATATTGCAGACAATATGATATAGGAGCGCCCGCCTCCTTTGAAAGGGCCTGATCCTGACCCTGACCCTGTCACACACACTGATATACATGCTCAAAGACCCACACATTCAATCTGTCACACCCTCACAAACATGCAGTCGTACAGATAAACGCATACTCAATCCATCACACTCAAACATGCAGTCATGCACGATACATATGCACAATCCTGCCCTTGCAGTCACATGCACATTCGCTCCATCACATGCTCATAAACAGTCACACAGACACATTCAGTCCATCACACACTTACATGCACTATCATATATGCAGACATACCTGTGATCGGTCCATCATGCACACACGCATATTCGGTGTATCACACACTGACAAACACGCAGTCGCACAATATGCACGCACACATTCAATCCATCACACACTCACTCAGTCATACTTACCAGTGTCGCACACTTGCCTACTCAGACACACACTCGGATACCCAACTTGATTTAGCCACAGGTCCCCTTTCCTTTCCCTCTCCTGCACTGGCTCCCAAGAGCCAGGAGACCCCAGAGGCTCTCTTCCTCTCAGGCAGGTTTATCACCGAAGTCCACAGTATGATTGTGAGACCCCTCCAACATGCTCTAACTTTATGTAAAGCCCCTTCCCATAACACATTGCTACAAGAGCCCTGTCAAGGGGGACAGCGTCTGATCCCAACAGTTCCATGGTCCCAAGGTCCGGATTATGTGATGCTTTCCCTTGGCCCTTTGTCATACATGACTGTGGGATCCATAGCCATGGTGCAGCCTATGTGGGTGAATCACATGTTCCCAGGTGGCCTGGTACATCACAGCAAGCCCCTATGTCCTGGCCCAGAACATCCTGGCCAGAGGCTACAGTTTGGTGGGGCGGTGGAAACCGTGGGGGGAGGCATAGGAAGGCTGGCTGTGCCATGTGGCAACAGGATAGAGGCGGTGCCGCTGTGAGTTGTCATAGGATGTGGGGTAGTGTGCCAGGCTGGTCGCCAGTGGCCGGCACAGCTCAGAGGTCTGGGCAGTGATCACAGGGCCTGGGAAGGCTGGGATGACAAAGGGACTGAGGGATGGTGCGAGTGGCGATGATTCCCTGGAGCCAGCCAAGCTCAGTGGAAACCTCAGCATCGTCCCTGTGTAGGTATCTGGGCCGGCTGATGGCAGCAGTGTGGGAAAGCCAGGTGCCATGGCCTGTGGCTTGGCTAGGCCAGGCGAAGCCTCCCGTGGCTCTGCCTCCCTGACAAACGGGGACACGGCCCTCAGCTTCTTCCCAGGGCCAAAGCCACCATCTTCTGGCCCACGTTTGCCCAGCCCCAGGCTCTGCCCAGGCTTCGATGGCTGAGGGCTGACTCTAGCCAAGCTAGGAGCCACCCAACAGGCTTTGCTGGCAGGGAAGGCCAAAGCCTTGCTCCCTTGCCGGAAGCCCGTCCCCTCCAGGGGCTCTCTGAGCTCCCTCCGTGTGTGGTCAGGCAGGTGTGGGTCCTTGCTGGGAGGCTGGCAGAGGAAGGAGGTATCAGGGAAGCCGGCAGGGGCCCTGAGTGGGCGGCAACTCATAGGCTTCAGCACTTCTCCCTGGTAGGCCCGGAAGCAGCCAGTGAAGGTGGTGGGCACCGGTGAGAGGCGTCGGCCCAGGTTCCCTTCTTCAGCCTGTGGGCTCAGCGCCCCTTCATTTGTGCTCAGGGGGCAGGAGTGGGCTGGGTCCACGGTGTCATCCCGCTGTGGCCCAGGGCTCCAGCCATCCTCACGGCGTTGGGGCTTGGCAGCACTGTGGTCTGGGCTGTGGCAGGGGCCAGTTGACATCCAGCCCTCGCGGCAACGGCCCTCAGGGCAGTGCAGAGCCTCAGCCTTGCTCACCTGAGCCAGCAGCTTCTTCTTGGCCAGGGGGGACATGATGGGGTGGTTGCCTTTGAAGTAGAAGCTGGAGAAGAGGCGCTGGTATGCCTCTGAGCAGCCAAGGGCCTCACAGTGGCCATGGCAGCCGGTGGGGGGCTGGGCCACCTCACTGGGATCCCGGGGCTGGTTCTGCTCGAGCACCACCTCCCTGCCAGGCTGGGGAGTGGAGGCAGCATCCAGCTTTGTCTTCTCCAGTGGAATCTACAACCAGAGGGATTGAGGCATGGGTGAGGTGTAGCCCCTGGGTCCACTGCTCTCCCACCCTAGGCTCCTGGCCAGCTGTGTTCCTTCTCCCTGCTGCCCCTGGTGTTCTCCTAGCACCCAGATCCCAAGGCTCCATGCATGGGGCGGTCCTGGAGGAGACCCTGGGGATGAGCCCATGTCAGCTTCTCCCCCCCAACCATTGCACCTGCTGCCGGCTCTTCTCCTTCTTGGCCCGCGGCTCCTTGGAGACCTTGTATTGCTTCCGGGGCTTGGTGGGGGGCAGTGGCTTGTCATCCTCGCCCTTCAGGTGCCGCACATATGGGAGAACCAGCCTGCCACGAAAGAAGCATATGCCATCAGGGGGCTGCAGCCACGGCCAGTACTGGGCCTGGTTCTGCCAGCCAGAGCATGGCCCTGCAGCAGCTGCAATGAAGCCAAGCAACCAGTGCAGAACAGTGGGCCCGTGGCCCTGTGGTCACTCCAGAGGTGGCACTAGATCCTGGTGAGTGCAGCCAGTGGTCCCATCATGGGGTCTGAGGGTGTTTCACACTTCCCTGCCAGGCCAGGCCAGGCCAGCGTATCAGCCCTCACTGCACCCTTAGGGAAACTGAGGTACAGAGAGTCAATGGATGGAGAACAAACAGGGACAGTGGCAGGGCTTGGAGCTGAGACCTGGAGTCCCCCAGGCCATGAGCAAGGGAGTAGACAGGTGAGGTGGCACATGGGGCAGTAGGCAGTGGGGGTTCGTACCTCTCATAGTGGCGCCGGGTGCAGGTGGCTGCGCTGGTGCTGCCAGGGCTCCCGCCCAGCTCATCATAGACATTCTTCCAGAGCCGCCTGCCTGTGACCTGTGGTGGGAGGGAGGTGAGGGCCCCAGGATGTGCCCAGCACCTTCCTCATGTACCCCTGCCCTAGGGTGTGGCTGGGCGAGCAGAGCCCTGATCTGGGGGGCAATGACAGCTCAGGAGAGCTGCAGCTGGAGCATTGCCAAGTTCTGACTTGCTCTCCCACCCATCCCCAGGGGCCACAACCAGCTGGGATCTGGCTCCAAGCTTTGGTCCCAATGTTCCCAGCTCAGCAAGCCAGGAGAGCCCAGAAGCTCCCCTTGCCTGGCCCCATGGCTGGAGCTCTGCTGCCCCCTATTCCAGGGCCAGTATAGGCAGTCGCCAGCTGGGCACAAGGCCCAGAGGATGTGATCCCAGCCCCTCCCCTCCGCTCACCAGCTCGTAGGCACCCAGCTTCTCCACGGCCTTGTAGATCTTCCACAGGTTAACTGGACAGACACACGGACGGGAGCAGAGTGAGGGCAGGGCCCAGGGGGAACAATCCTCATGCCCTAGCCAGAGTATTGCCCCCCCTCAGCCTGCTCAAGTGGGCCTGGGGGACCTCAGCCATGCTGGGGGGTTGCAGTGACCACAGGACCTGGCTGCAGCCCTCCCTGGGGTGCTGCCACATCAGGGCCCTGCCCAGGCCAGCCTGGCACAGGCAAGGTGCCACACAGACAGAAGTCTTGCCTGTGGCTGTCAGTAAAGAAGTCTGGCAGATTTGGGACCAGCAAAGGATTCTGGGAGGCCCCGAGAGGTGCCGGGGACATACTCTGCTTAAAGCCGAGGTGGGGGATCCTTTCAATGGGCGTGCGCCGTTCCTTCATGAATTTGTAGAGGCCAACGAGGAAGGCCTGCTCCTCCTCCTTCTCACCGGTCAAGGCTGCGTCCTCGCCCAGCTCCCCCGCAGGGCCCCTCTGCTCCCCCTCAGAGCCACCAGCCTGCAAAGACAGACAGCCCCACGCTCAGCCACGGGGGCCGGGAGCTGCCAAAGCTGGCGCGACCTCGGCCATGGTCCTGGCAGAGCCGAGGGGAACCCAGGAGTCCAGGCCCCGAATCCCCTGTTGCTCTGACCACGAAAGCCTGCCCTACTCCTAAAGCAGCCAGAGAGAGAGAGTGCCCAGGAGTCCAGGCTCTGAGTTCCCCGTTGCCCTGACCACGAGATCATCCTGCTCCCAAAGCAGCCAGAGAAAGAGCCCAGGAGTCTGGGCCCCAACCAGCGAGAGCCCGTTGGAAAACCCTAAAGTCCCAGGTGGCAGCCCAGACTCGCAGGGCAAGACATGTCCCATGGCACCGCTACTCAGAAGTCAACGCTGCCTTGGCCATTCTACCTCATCACCAGAGCCCACCCCCATGCCTCTGGGGCCTTTTCCCCTCTTCCAGCCCCATGGCCCACAGCACCCAACCGGCTCTAGCAGCAACAGCCACGGCTCCTCCCACCCGGGCAGGTGGCCAAGTTGGTCAGAGCAGAGCACGAACGGGGAACGGTTTCCAGGAAAACAGAATGACGGAGATTCTCGCTCCCTCTCTGCTCCCCCAGCCTCACACTGAGCTGAAAACACGCTTCGTGTTTGCTCTGTGCTTTCCGGAGTTAGAAAACTCGCTGCTATTTTAGGGCAAAGCAGCTGCTTGGCTCCAGAGACCCCTTTCTTTGCTTTTTTTTCTCCCCTTCCGCTACTTCTTCTGTCTCTCCTCGCCGCAGGCGGAGACAAGCCCAGCCTCTGAGGATGGAGGGAGGTTTGTTTTTTTAAGCCCCAGCAGAGTTGAAATTAGGTGGGGGAAGGGGGGAGGAGGGGGGGAAGAGGCCAGAGCTGCTGGGCACATCTCTGGCTTGCTATCCCATTCCTCGCCAAACCTGCCAGGACCTTGGCAGAGTCCCTGCCCACGTATGCCTGCCCCAATAGGGCATGGCAAGGATCTCTTGCCTGGCAGAAGTTGGACTGAGACCCAACAAATTCATCTCGCCCACTGCAGGCCTGGCTTTGCTGGATATCTTTGGCCCTGCCCAGCCACCCCTGCTGTCTCTCATGCCCCATGGGGTTGAGGCAGCTTGGGTTCAGCAGAGAGATGCTCTGGCCCCTGGCCTTGAAGGGGAGAAATCTCCCCTCTACCCTGCAACCAACTGCTCAGGGATGACCAGTGCCCCCCTCAGGCCCTGTGTTTCCTGGTGCTGGGAGACAACATGCCAGAAAGACCCCCATGGGTCTGGTTCTGAAGGCAAGGATGCCTCTCATAACAGCTCCAGGGTATCCGACCAATTAGATGTCCACAGTGGCGCCACCTCTGCACCAGGCCACGGCCTTATGGAAGGTGGTGGCCGGGGGCTTAGGGTCCAGCCACTGACAGGCTCTGGGGAGCTCCCAGCCTCAAGGAAAGACCTGACATGCATCCCAGAACCCATGTACTTTATGCCGTGATGGGCCGCACCACCTTGGCTGTGCTGTGGTCCACGGCACCATGGGATGCTCTGCCATGGCCGTGAGCCCCCCCCCTTATGCACAAGTGTAAGAGAGACTGGCACACTCATTCAGCTGCCACATAGGCAGCAGCCTCCAACAATGGAACTAGAAGTCAGGAAGAGCTGAGGCCCTTGTGTGTAGCCACCAGTCCCCTTTTGCCAGGGTGCGGGGCTGGGTTTCCACACTGCGGGTCACGCCCAGCTGTAAGTCCCAGCCTGGCCTGGAACCCATGGCTCCATGGAGCTCCTCCAACTCTCCCTTGCCTCAGTGCCAGGGAGAGGGCACAGGGGGCCAGGGGACAAACACCCACCTGCCCCTGCCCCCATGCTCACCCTGGGACACACAATTTGTGCTGCTGCCCCTCAATCCAAAAGGAACAGGATCAACCCTGGCCTGACCCAGCCATGGATGCTGGTAACAAGCAGCCAAGACTGAGGCCAGCAGGAGCCTGCTTGGGGTGGTTCAAGTGCTGTGTATGCAGGCTGGACTAGTCCCAACCCCCAATGCTGGCTCGCAGGGGCAGCTGAAGAGATGGCTCCCCCCAGCTTCTTCATCTTCCGGCATGTGGGCGCATCCCAGGACCCTCAGAAGGGGATGTGGTGCCCCATTGCACTCACCGCCTGGGCTGTGGAGTCAGTGGGACCTGGGTTCTCCTCAGCATCCGGCGCAGCAGCATCAGCAGCACCTGGCTGAGACTCACTCTCCTCCTCCATGGCAGGCGGCACCTTCTTCTGGTGTTTCCCTTTAGGACTAGGGGCTGTGGGGAGGAAGAGGAGACAGGCCGCTGAGGAGGGAGCCTGGCAGATGCCTGTCCCCAGTGTAAGGGCAGTTCAGGCCACCCAGCCAGTTGGTGGGGGGGGGCAGAGAGGGCCCATGCTGGGCTTTCCAAGAATGAGGCTACGTAGCTGACACGTTTCCTGCATTTATCAACAGCACCCTGCACTTTCGTTTTCAGGGCAGCTTCCTGGAACTGAGGGAGAGCTGTGCGTGTCCCCCCTGCTGCCTCAGCAGCTCCGGCATGGCCAAGGCAGGTGCCTCTAGTGGCCAGAGCTAGCCAAGACCCCCCATCCCAGCCCTGGCTGACAGTCCCCTAGTTGTACCCCCCTTGGCCACAGAGCCTCTCGGCTTCACCTCAGGCCTGCTGTAGGGACCCTGGTGCCACACCATGACGCTGCCAAGATGCC